AGAAACTTGTGGGCACCTCACCAGGTTCAAGGACGACGCAGGATTCTCCACTGGATACCTGAGATCAAAACTCATTATCGGATGTGCCTGCTGTCAGGGGACCATGGATGCTCGGGCTCTCTGCGCCGACAGTGGCGCGTAAGCTGCCCGCGTAAGCCGCCGCGTAAGGTCGCTGTGCCATCTCGCGTAAGACCCGCTTTTGATCGTCGCTCAACTGACGAAGAAACCATATACATTTGGAGGTCCGCGGATTTCGTGGATCGGCGCCGGGCCCCCCGCGCGGCGCCTCCCGCGCCGCCTCTGGCGCGCTCCTTGCGCCAGGGAGGGGGAGCAGCGTCGATCCAAGAAACCAACGTGGACCTCCGAAAATTCGTGTTTATGCAGATGCGCCTTCCTTTTTTTCAAGCGGGCAGAGCGGCCAGAAAACTGGCAAGCAGGTTATGGCCAGGCCAAAAGACGGGCCAGATATCCAATCTCGGCTGATTTCTGGCAGTTGTCTGTCGTGTCCGTTCAAGGCCTGTTGGCTCGAATTTGCAGGAGGTAGAAAGTAGGGAGGAGCCGCGGACCGCTCCGTCGGCCACTGCATGTCGCGCGAGACGCGCGCGTCCAAGAGGGCAGAGAGGAGACGCCCCAGGCTGCTCTTCTTGCTCCTCGCACTTCTCGCTTTGCGCATCTGCTGGCCGCTGCCGTGTTTGTCGCGCGCCTTTGTTGTTGCTGTGCCGAGCCGCACCGCCAAGGCAGCTACAAGGCGCCTGGCGCAAATCGGTGGCACGATGGCCGGCACCAGCTTCGGATATTCTGGTCCCAGCAAAGTGCTGCGAGATTTGTGCGGCACCTACCTTGCCACCAACCCTGACGCGAAGCAGAGTTGGCAGGAATTCTGCAAATCCCGAGACCTTCAGCCCCTCGCCCCTTTGGATAAGCAGCCTGTAGAGGCGATGGAAGTTTTCCTCGCGGATCCCGCTCAGTATAAGCAAAAGGAGCTCCTCGAGTTCCTCGGCCTCGACACCGTCAACGTGCCACTGAAGGGCTTGTATGACATCAAGGAAGACGATCCCATTACAAAGTCCGCTCTCATTCGCGAGCTCACTCTCAAGCAATTCCGAGCTCTCATCGCGGAGGACCCCGAGATGAACAGAAAATGGAGCAATTTCTGGACAGCGAAGCTTCAAAGGCTCGTTGGGGAAGACGAGGACGACGCCCGGAGGGAGATGGCCATGAAGAGCTCGTTCGAGAAACGGAAAACGCCTGAGCCAGGCACGTGGGATGCGATGGTTATGAGGGAGAAGTACTTCGATGGGCGCTCCAGTGTCGGGGAGTTCGATATCGATGGTGGAAAGGATGCACTACGGTAAGCCTCTCGCGCCGTCCTGTCTGAGCCGCCTTGCCAGTACAGCGGCGAGGTTTGACAATTTCGGAGCGCAGCTCTTGCGGAGTATTTTTCTCGCCGGCGCTTGCCGCCCCAAGTATTCTTGCAGAAATTGGAGGCAGAATCTCTCGAGAGACGCAACACAAAACAGTCCCAAAGCGGCCCCAGTCAATTCTTGACGCTTCGCGTATCCCCACCAGTTTTGCCTTCTGACACGCCCTCTGGACTTTACCTTGCGGGCCGCCGAACAAAAAAAAAGTATCCCCACCAGCTCATCCAGAACCGATGCCCAGGCGAGTTGCCTCCCAGAGTCTCCTCGGATGTCTCTTGGAGGAAGTTTTTTTGAGGCCTCTTAAAGTTTCTAGGGTGCCTCTTGGCGGTCCCTGAGGCCTCTTGGAGCGTCTTGGGTGCCTCGGGGGGCCTCTTGGGGTCTCTTGGGAAATTCTTGGAGGCCTCTCGGGCGCCTCTTGGGGCGTCCTGGGCGCCTATTCGGGGCCTTCTTGGGGCGTTCTTGGGAGCCTTGGAAGCGCTCTCGGGGCCATCTTGGAGGAGATCGATCAAAAACTATGGGAGCTCCAATTGCGTTCCCCCCTCGGGAGCCCCAAAAATCGCCTCTTAGGCCCTCCTTGGGGCGATCTTGGGGCCGTCTCGGGGCTCTCTTGGGTCTCTCGTGGGGCCCTCAGGGGCCCTCTTGGAGCTGTCTTGAGGCCTCGGAAGGCCATCGGAAGCAAAAAGGCGAGAAGCAACAATCATGGGTTTTCTTAAGGTTTTTGAAGAATGTTGGCCTCTTGGCGGCATCCTGGGGAGGCCGTGGCCACTTGGAGCCGTCTTGGGTCTTCTTGGAGCATCTTGGGAGCCATAATGAGCCATCTTGGACTATCTTGGGCCGTCTTGAATTCATTTTGGGCTCTCTGAGGCCCTCTTGGAGCAATCTTGGGCTATCTTAGAAGCCCTGACCGCTCGCGGGGTGCCCCGTCCAGGTCCAGGGGAGGGGGCAGGGGGAGGTGTCAAGACACCCCCTAGATAGCAAGTCGTCTAGCTCACTCCAACCCGATACATAAGTAACACCCGAGCCTCAGCATGTTCAGCGGTCGTTTTTGGATGGAGAGCTATTGGGAACCAAAACCGGCCCCATGTGCGCGACGCTGGGGCGAGGTGCGCCACGCGTGCCAAGCGCGCCACGCGCGCCAGGCACCCCTGGGGCCCGAGCGTGCCAGGCACGCCTGGTGCGCCAGATGCGCCACGTGCTCCGCGTGCGCCAGGTGTGCCGCATACTCCAGCCGCGCCATGTGCGCCACGTTCGGAGCACGTGCAGATTGTGTCAGGTGCGCCTGTGCATGTGACAGCACACATCGGGAAACATGTCGGCCTCCACCATCCTTGTCGAAAACCAATGCCCATCATTGTGTCTGGTGGGCCTGCAAACAGCAGGCTATACGCCACCACCCCCGCCGTCCCTGTCAAAAACCACTTGACAGTGGTCGCAGGATGGCCGCGCACTATCCAGATTTAGCCGCGAGGTCCATTTTGTTTGTTTTTGTTGTTCGGGATGGTAGCCCTGCGCACAGCAGGCAATATGCTGACACCCCGCCGCCCCTAACAAAAACAATACGAAGTGCTCGCGGCCCTCACCAACATGACACAAGATGTTGCCCCAAAGTGTACTTGGTATTGTTTTTTGACAGGGATGGTGGGGGGGGGGGCGCATCGGGTTGGCGGCGCATGTTCCAAATGCGGAGGCAGAGTGTGCATTTTATTGTTTTTTGATAGGGATGGGGGGGGCGCATGTTTCCTGATTGGCCGCCGGTCGCCTGGGAGAGGGGGTGTAGACTAATAGGGAACAGTGATAAACCCATCCCCGAAGGGGCTGAGGGAGGGGTTGGAAGAGGAGCCTCTCTAGACCACCTACGCCCAGAGGGCTGGTGGGATTAGTGGTGTTCGCGACGACAACACACGCAGGCTTCATTTGCCTGTCGGGTGTACGCGGCTGCCGGTGGTCGTGCAGAATGCCGGTGGTCGTGCAGAATGCCGCCAGGTGCGTCCGGGGAGGTTGGCTGAAGCGCGCGCTTGTCTCCCAGCGCGGATCCCACCCAGCCAGTTCTTGCGCCGGCGCTGCCATCTTCGTGCCCAGACCCCTTCGGGTCCTGAACAAAAATCACGACGAGAGGCTCTTCTGTATTTTCGGCTTCTGGGGGCCCTGACCGGGCCTCGGGCCCGCAAAAAGCGACTCGGGAGGAAAAGCCGGTCCTGGGGAGTGGGTCCCGACCTCCCTGGGGATCGCGTCATGAAAATCATGACGTCGGGGGTCTGGGTATGGAGGGTCACTCTTGTGTATATCCGACTGCGGCCCTGCAAGCTGAGGGGGGGAAGTCTCAGACTCCCAGACAGGCTCGCGTCGTGAGAAGATCGCGGGGGAGGTGTTTGGCCGTTTTCGGTCTCTGTGGGCCCTCGCCGGGCCCCGGGACAGTCGAAAATTGGTTCGGGATGGCAATATGTCCTGAGGAACGGGTCGGGACATCGTGGGAGCCCGCACTGAAAAAACATCTACACATCCGATGCCTGGGATCGTATCAGTAACACGGTGCCGTTGGGCGCCCATCAGTGTTCAGGAGGGAAAAAACACAGACACAATGAATCGTCAATTCCATAGTAAATGTGGGAAAATATGGGAAGTGGTGGGGAAGACAAAAACCCAGAAAATATGAAATAAGATCGGGAATCCTGTCACGTGTGTCTATTTATTTGTGTGTCCCAGGGCCCCTTCAAATGTGTTCCTCCTTCGCGGGCATCCAGGTGCCCGGCGCGTGCTCCGCAGTAGCACTCTGACGGGCTCCCCACGGCGGCGCCCCATGCTTCTATCGCATATCGCGTCGGGGGAACGAACCACACCACATCGATGTGTAGACCGCACAACGCCGGCCTCGTTCTGAGGCTGTGCCCCCCTTTTCCTCCCCCTTCCCTGGTTAAGTCAAGCTTCGCGCGGCCCGCTTAGCTTCGACCGGAAGAGGTCCGCTCTCCACCCGCGAGTCAAACATGTGTAGACCGCATAGTATCAGATATTGAGACACATCGGACGCACAGTCAGCCCGCAAAGTGAGGCGGGGCAGCCCCCCTCCCAGGGGTACCCTTGCATCCCTGCCTCCGCGGCCCATCCCTGGCCGCTCTCGTCGGCCGCGCCCGGCTCGAGGAGCGTCGAGATAGCCTGCCGAGGCCATTGCCCTTTGCGTCCTTCTCATGCGGGTTGACCGTACCGCTATGTCGGGCGTGTCCCCCTACAGGGGGACTTTCGACGAAAGATAAAAAAAGTACCCCCAAAATGCACCAAAAAGGCCAAAACGTACCCAAAAGATAGTCCCCAGACCAGACTATGTTTGGACTATTTTCTGATTCTGTTTGGAGTATTTTTCATTTTTCGTCGAAAATCCCCCTGTAGGGGGACAGACCCGACATGACCTTACCGCCAGATCGACCTCAGGTGCGCGGCCTCCCGGGGGCTATAGGAAGCAGGCAGCCCGAGCACACGCAGGTCACCACGGCGGCCGCGTCGCGCGCGGCGATCGGCAGAGCGCGCACCTCCTCCTCCTCCCCCTCCTCCTCCTCCTCCTCCTCCTCCTCCTTCTCCTCCTCCTCC